CAGGGCGATACTTACTTTGATGAACAGGGTGGAATTAGCTGCTTTTCAGATTCACCCAGAACCTCCCATGGGCAATACTTAGTTTGAGTTACCTTAAGTCAGTGATATATGATAATGATTATCTCTCAATAAATCAGATGGGCTTTCTTGGAATCTGAGGACTGCATTCAGTCCAGGAGCCTTTTGCAGGGTGATCTATAGCAAGGAACATGCTGGCACCACTCAAAGATGCTAATCACAAAAGTTACAGCAAGGGGCAGGGGTAAAGGAACAAGTGATAAACACCCCTTAGGAATCAGGAAGACTTCACAAGGACAAATGAGACTTTGCCAGGGGTTGGAGCCAAGAAACAGTTTTCAGGGTGGAGTGGACCACAGATGCGAGAGCTGGTAACTCTGAAATAGGTGAGATACCGTGATAAGTTTGGACACAGTTTTCCTACTCCAGCCTTACCAACACTCATATAAAAGCTAAAGTGTAGTACCGTAATCTGTGTTACTCCTAAACTAGCACAGATGAGATGACCAGAATGTCACACGGGTGACTGCTGTGCAATACTTAGGTTTAATGATTGGTTCTCTCTGAACCCTGGGCGCTGCATGGGGCGCCTCTAGGCTCTGTAACTTTTCATTAACTTTCATTACTAAAGCTGCTTTTGCCAGCACCTTTTGCTCATTAACGCAGTCAGGCAGGGCCCGTGCAGCTGAGACTCCTGAGTCCCTGCGAGGGGAGTGGCAGGGCCAAGAAGGAAGCAGTGGGAAAGTGTGAGGTGGGAGGGACCACTAAGACAATCACAAAGCCCCACTTGGTTGGTGTTGCTTTTGCTGCCTCGGAGTTTGGTTTCATGTCCAAAATGTCATTGCCAAGACCAGTGCCGAGGAGCTCGTGCCTTCTGGGATTTTCACGGTTTCAGATCTCACACTTAAGTCTTTAAACCATTTTGGGTAATTCATATGGATGCTGTGAAATAGGGGTTCATTTTCATTTATCTGTATGGGGATATGCACTTTTTGCAGCATTATTTTTTTAAAAGATTATTTATTTGAAAGGCAGAGTTACAGAGGCAGAGAGGAAGCGAGAGAGAAGAAAAAGAGAAAGAAAGAAAGGGAGGAAGGTCTTCCATCCACCGGTCCACTCCCCAAATGGCCACAACGGCTGGAGCTGTGCCGATCTGAAGTCAGGAGCCAGGAGCTTCTTCCAGGTCTTCCACGTGGGTGCAGTGACCCAAACACTTAAGCCATCTTCCACTGCTTTCCCAGGCCATAGTGGAGAGCTACATCAGAGGTAGAGCAGCCGGGACTCAAACTGGTGCCCATATGGGCTGCTGGCACTGCCGGTGGCAGCTGTACCCACTACACCACAATGTCAGCCCCACAGCATTGATTATTGAAAAAACCTTCCTTTGCCCATTGGATGTTCATGGCAACTTTGTCAAATATTAAAACTCTAGGTGTCTCATGTGGGCGGCGGGAACCCAATCCCTTGAGCCTTCGCTGCTGCTCCCAGAGACTGCCTTAGCAGCAAGCTGGAGTCAGGAGCCAGAGTTGAGTATTGAACCCAGGAACTCTGATATGGAAGGTGGGCGTCCATAACCAGAATCTTAACCTCTATGCCAAATGCTCACCCTATAGGGCTTCCCAGCACAGTCCCCTTGGGGATTGTGCCTGAGTCTGTGCCTCGTGCCTCTTGGTCTTTCCCTTTGTGCTTCCTGCCATTGGACTATTGAGTTGACCAATGACAATTTCTTTCTTTCTTTCTTGCTCTTTTTCTCTCTCTTTCTTTATTCATTTATTTATTTGAAAGGCAGAGTTACACAGAGAGAAACAGGGGGTAGGGAGGGATCTTCTATCTGCTGATTTGTTCCGAAGATGGCTGCAATGGCTTGAGCCAGGAGCCAGAAGCTTCTTCCAGGTCTCCCGACTTGGTTGCAGGGGCCCAAGGACTTGGGCCATCTTCTACTGCTTTCCCAGACACATTAGCAGGGAGTTGGTTCAGAAGTGGAATAGTTGGGACTCGAATCAGTGCCCATATGGGATACCAGTGCCACAGGTAGTGGCTTTACTGCTGCTATACCACAGTGCCCGCCTGACCAATGCCACTTTCAAGAGATGGAGAACAGGAACAAGGCTCATCAGGAGCATTGTGAACTTGAAAGACTTTGTAAAATAAATCTCAAACCCAAATGTGAGGGGATATTGTTCATCAGTTTTGCCATTATTTGGTATATTGGGGCAGGGGGAGGGGCAAGTTTGTGGGGGAAAAATTTAAAGCTAAGAATCCAATGAAACTGTTGGCTATTCTGCATACTTCACTTATCTGTGAAGTCATCTTCATGACCACAGACAACCAAGTGAGTGTTTAGTGAAACTGGCTGAAAAGTATTTTGCAGCAATGCTAACTACTCCTGAGGGTTTCGTGTTGTCCAAAGGGTTGCATGGGCAGTGCTTCATGATGCTGGTCTGAAAAATTTGGTTCCTAAGGCCTTCCCTGGGAAAACACAAACGTTATGGTACCCAGATCCCAAAGGATAAGAGCACTGAGTCTGTTTGCAGAATTGCTGGACTGATTTAAGTTTCACTGGCAAACGGCTTTTTGAGACCCAGTCGTCTGTGGCCTCCGTGTGATTGCTTCCCACTAGCAGCTGCTCACTGCCAACTCCGGTGGCTTGAGAAAGTGAGCGGTTCCCACGCTCCCACACGCCAGCCCAGTTGGGATGTTTGTGCTGGGAGATGTTTGGCATGGAGAGACCAGCTGGGTGAAGCTCCTGGCCTCCCTCCCTTCTCTGCAGCCTGTCGGTGCGTTCCAGAGAAGTCTTGCTGGTGCCAGGTGATGAGGGAAAATCTGTCACCTCAACAGTTAACAGCCCATGAAGTTGGGGCAAAAGAGGTGTTGTTAAATACACCTGTGACTCCCAAAGCCCTCTTTGCTTTCTCTACCTGCACACCAAAAGGCTCTACTTCCTTGAACCTTTTTGCCAGGTTCTCTTGAGCAGTCACCAGAGGGTCCCCTGTCCTGTCCTCGGGTAATGAGGTGTGAAGTGACTGAAGGGATGAGGCTGCAGGAGGGGGAGGGGTACAATAATTGGGCTGGAAAACCCACAGACATTTTAATCAATTCCAGAACAACTCAATGGAGAGTCACTGTTTTAGATCCTTGTGTTTCCAGGCTGCAGCCTTTTAAAGGACAGTATCAGGCACCATTTGCCAAATTGCTCCCATTTCATTGGGACATATTTTTTTCTTATACTTCAGATTCTCTAAGTCTAAGGATCATTGGGTTGGAATTCTGTGTTGTCAATGGATTGCACAGTAACGAGAAAGGGGATGCATGTCAAGCGTCACTCATTAGCACAAACTCAAAGCAGGCCCAGGGTCCCCTGTGCCATGGGGCTATTTGCCACCCTCCCTCAGTGGCTCATTTTCCCAAAGAAGTGTGGGTTTTCACTGAGTAAGAGTAATGGCACCTTTTAGTAGGCAGTTATTACTGATTTCCAGAAGGTTGTCCAAGTAGGAAGAGAGCCAACTTTGGGGCCAAGCTCCCTGGGTTCAAATCCAGTGTCACCCCTTTTTACTAAGTGAGTTTGGGCAGATTGACTGATTAACCTAATTCCCTCTATCAGAAAAATAGGTATATTGGTAGTCCCTAGTCCCATACGGTACTTCTGAGGGTTAAATCTATTTTTTAAAAATATTTATTTATTTATTTGAGGGACAGAGTTACAGAGAGGCAGAGGCAGGGAGAGAGAGAGAGAGAGGTCTTTCCTCCACTGGTCCACTCCCCAAATGGCTGCAATGGCCAGAGCTGGGCCACTCCAAAACCAGGAGCCAAGAGCCTCTAATGGGCCTGCCATGGGGGTGCAGGGGCCCAAGCACTTGGTCCATCCTCCACTACTGTCCCAGGCCATAGCATAAAGCTGGACCAGAAATAGAGCAGCTGGGATTTGAACCAGAGCCCATATGGGATGGCGCCACTGCAGGCAGCAGCCTCATCTTAGTAAGACATCTGGAACATGGTAAATAGTTAATGAACATTAACTATTATTCTAACACATTAAACTATCCAAAACAATTAGACTATAGTGCCCCATTTATATGTCTTTATTTTTAGATATATTTATCTTTATTTGAAAGATAAATAAATCTTGCCGTTTATTTGAAGGGCAGAACCAGAGAGAGAGAGCAAGAGAGAAACAGACAGAGAGGTCATCCATCCTCTGGTTCATTCCCTCAAATGGTCGCAATGGCCAGGCTGAAGCCAGGAGCCTGGAACTCCATCCAGGTCTCTCATGTGGGTGCAGAGGCCCAAGTACCTGGGCCATCCTCTGCTGCTTTTCCAGGTTCATTAGCAAGGAGCTGGATTGGAAGTGGAGTAGCAGGGAATTTAAGGGGCACCCATATGAGATCCCAGATCACAGATGGATGCTTCACCAGCTGAGCCACAGCGCCAGCCCAGATTTATTTCTTGATGCTTTGTTTTATCATCATCTTTGTTAGCCCTTTTCCTCATCTGGATTGTGGGTTCCTTGAAGGCAAGAACTGGATCCTACCTGTTTTTGTGCCCTAAGCACTTAACACAGTCCTGGTATGGAGTTACAATTTATTCCACTTAGAGAGTAAATGAATTCAGGCTGTTAGACTGACTTATGTTTCAATAATGCATGCAGTAAATGAAGCACTCTTGTTCCCATCTTCTTACTTGAGGTTAGGAGGGCGCATGCGAGGAAACCTGAGAGGTGAATCCCAAGACACTCACTTGAGGTCCAGCGACTGGCATGTGGCAGAGTCAGGCTGCCCTGCAGGTCTTGCCCGTGCTCCTTCAACCAGCCCCTCTTGCATAGAAAACAAAAGCTGGATTTGCAACGTAGGCTCTTGCTGTTCTCTGATTCTACTGTATTTCCCATATTGTGGGCATCTGTGGCAGCACCCTGCAAGTGGGTGCTTGGTCCGTCTGGGGAAGAAGTCCTTTCTGCCTTGCTTCTAACCATACTTGGTTTTGTACAGGTCACCACAAATGGCATCATTGCCATGAGCGAACCCCCGGCCAAGGAATCCCATCCCGGGCTCTTCCCACCGAGCTTCGGCGCGGTCGCACCTTTCCTGGCAGACTTGGACACAACTGATGGCCTCGGGAAGGTTTATTATCGAGAAGACTTATCTCCCTCCATCATGCAGCTGGCAGCAGAATGTGTCCAGAGAGGGTTCCCAGAGGTCTCGTTCCAACCCAGCAGCGTGGTGGTTGTCACTTGGGAATCTGTGGCTGCTTACCAAGGGCCTAACCAGGACCCTATCCAAGAAGGCAAGGTAAGCACCTGCCCAGGTACGAGCTCCAGTCGTCTGACACATTGTGCTCTTTGTTCTTTTGGTTTGAAGTATCCTTATGCACCTTATGCCTGTGTTATTGATAAACATGAGACCCAAAGCAGAATCTAGCAGGCTGGCTATCGCAGGTCTAAAACTTCTAAAAGCTTTTTAGCAAGGCTGTAGAAATCTGCTTCAGTGATGATCAGACAGAGTGCAGGGACTATGCTACCGGCTTCTGCTGCAGCTGTGTTGCTGGCTACACAGGGAATGGCAAGCAGTGTGTTGCAGAAGGTAATTTTCTTGTGTATGTTCGATCTGTAGACGTGGAGCCATTGATGTAGAGAGAGACAGAGATGTTCCATCCTCTGGTTCCCATCCCAGAAGGCTGTGGGTCAGGTGTATACCAGTCTCCCCTTGTGTTTCTCTTTCCTTGGGCCCCTGAAATTGGAGGATGGATGTGGTAGACCATACCAGACCCGTTGTGAAGCTAACTCCAAGATGGATTCGGCTGGACGCTGACATTAGTTTTAAACTCTGCCCTCAAAAGGACCACATCCTAGGTGGGCTTTTGGCCTAGTGGTTAAGATGCTCCTGGGTATACCTGCCTCCCATCTCGGAGGGCCTGGGTTCAAGTCCTGCCTCTACTTCTGATTCCAGCTTCCTGCTAATATAAACCCCAGGGAGACAACAGGTGATGTCTCAAGTACTTGGGTTCCTGCCACCCACATGGGAGACCCAGATGGTGTTCCCAACTCCATCCTCAGCCTGCAGCATTTGAAGCAGCAAGGCATTAGATAGAAGGTAACTCTGTCTCTCACTCTCTCCCCTTCACCATCTCTCTCTCTCCCCATCTCCCTATCTCCTCTCTCCCTCTCTCTCCTCCTCTCTCTCTTTTCCTCTCTCCCTTCTCTCCCTACTCTCCCCTCTCCTCCTCTCTCCCTCTTCCTCTCTCCCTCTTCCTCTCTGTCTCCCTCCCCCTCTCCCTCCCTCCACTTCCCTCCCCCATCCACTCTTCGCCCTTTCCTCCTCCCCCCTCTCCTCCCTCTCCCTCCTTTTCCTCCCTCTCCCCCTCTTCCTCCCTTCCCCCTCTCCTCGCTTTCCCCCCTTCCCCTTCTCCCCCTCCCTCTCCCTCCTCCTCCTCCCTCCCCCTCTCCCCCTCCTCCCACTTCCCCCCTCCTCCTCTCCCTCTGTCCCTCCCCTCCCCTCTGCTTCTGCCTTTCAAATAAAAAAAGATAATTGTGAAACACCAGATTTCATGTTCTCAGCAGGTCAGAAGAATCCTTTCTGTACAAGTATACAGGGCCTTGGTTACAGCTTCCTGTGGGAGGTCAGAACCACATACCAGAAGAAAAAACAAATGAAAAACCCCAAACCCCACTATATTGGACATTTGCCCCTTCATATGCAGAAAAGATGTCTGATGCATCACAAGTCACTTTTCCTGTGTGTTTAATGGGGGAACTTCCATTGCTTTGCAAAATGTAACTGAATAAAACTCCATTGGAGGAATGTTTCCTGATTTTGAGATTTCCCCTACCAGAGCTATAGTTAAGTCGTTATCATTTTAATTTGCTAAAAACAAAAACTTGTTTCCTTCTAGGTTACAATCAGATAAAGTGAGTATTTTTTAATACTTCCTTTTGTAATGAAAAAAAAATTTAGCATGCTTCTCATATCTGGGGGGATGTTTTCAACATGTTTAAAGTGTTTTCTGTTCCAAACCACATCACCCATGGGAACAGTGTGCCTTTGCATCTTTGTTTGAGGCTTGGCTTTCTCTACTTCTCCCACCCTGTGCAAACCTTCCAGAATCCACAGCGAAATCTTCTTCTCAAGGAGCAACCTATTACCTCTTTGCACGCCAAATAAAAGAGCTCAAAAGCTGAACAGTTTGTGTTTGGTGGTTAGCTCGGCTGCAACAAACTGTTCAACCACATATTTGGCATTGTATCTATACCCTTTAATTGTTCTGTGGTTTAAATATTTGTTGGATTCTTGATATTTAAAATTTTTTTTCCTAGTTCAAGGTTTGGTGGAAAATTTTTGTTTGGTTTCCCAAACTTGGTGTTCCTGTTTGTTTCTGCAATGGTTCCCAGGATGCATATTTGTGCTATTAACTTGCTAACTTCACAGCATTCCCAAGTGTAATGACACAATGTGCACACAAGGTCTCTGGGTTGAATGTATCCTGGCCTGTCAGCAGCCCCATAAACAGGGCTAAGTTTCTAGAAGATGGCAAAAGGTCAGCAAGACCCGAGTGACCCTCAGGTGCAAGCCCATCTGTCTAGGGTTATTCAATAAAATTTTCCAAGAACTTACTAAGTGAGGGAGACTTCCAAGAATAAGTGAGGGAGCTGGGTATGAAAATTATGCTGCTAGTATATTTGTAATCTAGGAAGATAAATAAGATACATGATCATCAACAGAATTAAATTCTACAGCAAACCTAAACAATCCAAGGTGAACTTTGTTTTACTGCTTTCTTTGCCTTTTGCTTTTTTGAGATGTAATTCACTTTAATTTTTTTTTTTTTTTGACAGAGTGGACAGTGAGAGAGAGACAGAGAGAAAGGTCTTACTTTTTGCCGTTGGTTCACCCTCCAATGGCCGCCACGGCTGGCGCACTGCGGCCGGCGCACCGTGCTGATCTGATGGCAGGAGCCAGGTGCTTCTCCTGGTCTCCCATGGGGTGCAGGGCCCAAGGACTTGGGCCGTCCTCCACTGCACTCCCTGGCCACAGCAGAGAGCTGGCCTGGAAGAAGGGCAACCGGGACAGAATCCGGCGCCCCGACCGGGACTAGAACCCCGTGTGCCAGCGCCGCAAGGCGGAGGATTAGCCTAGTGAGCTGCGGCACCAGGCCTACCTTAATTTTTTTTAAAAAAATTTATTTGCAAGACAAACAGAGAGAAAGAACTGTACATTTACACAAAATGCCCACAATGCCCACAATGGTTAGGGCTGAGCCAGAGTGAAGCCAAGAGCTGGGAACTTAATCCAAGTCTCCCCTGTGGGTGGCAGGAACCCATTGCTTGAACCATCACAGCTTCATCAGGAAGTAGTAGTCAAGAGCCAGAGTCGGACTCCGATATGGGAGGTGGCATCTTAACCAGTGTCATGACTTTTTGAAGTATACAGTTAGGTGGGTTTTGATATATTCATCAGGTTATGTAACTACCACCCCGAATCTCGATCATTTCATTTCATCACCCCAAAGGAAGCATTGTGCTCATTCGCAGTCACTCTTCATTCCCTCAAATTCCCCAGCCCCTGCCAACTTCTCTTCTACTCTCTGGCACTACCTCTTTTCCTGTTCTAGACATTTCATGTAAAAGGAATCCTGCCACATGTAATCTTGTGCATCTGGTTTCTTTCACTTGGCATATTGTTTTCAGAATTCATCCATGTTTTAGCATGTGTCAGTATTTCATTCTTTCTTCTAATGGAATAATTTCCCTATGGGTGGATATTCCATATTTTGTTTATCCATTCATCAGTTGATGAGTACTTGGGTTAATTCCCTTTTTAGTTATTATGAATAATGCTGCTAAGAGCATATGTGTACAAGGTTTTGTGTGGCTTTATGTGTTCCATTCTCTGGGGTGTATTCCTTGGAATTAGAATGGCTGGGTCATATAACAAGAGCAACTTAATTTCTCTAGGTCTTATTTTCTTGTGATTAGACAATAATCAGTATATTAAATTATAAGTAAACATTATAGAGATGCATGTGACAGAAAAGGACCATTCACCGTATTGCCTTGTGTTCCTGCGGTAAGCAGTTTTCCCCAGGTACATGCTAACATTATGGATGTAATTTTTAAGCATGAATCCTATATAGATATGCTATGTGTCAGTTTATTGAGAAGGCTTTTTAAAAGTTTTTATTTATTTATTTTCACTTTATTTGAAAGGAAGAAACAGATCTTTGATCTGCTGTTTTACTCCCTGCAAGACAACAGCAGCTGGGTGGGGACCACATGAAAGCCAGAAACCCAGAACTGCCTCCAGGTCTCCCACGGGCACGGACCCAAGCTCTCAAGCTATCATCACCACCTGCAGGGGTACACATTAGCAGGAAGCTGGATCAGAAGCAGGGTAGCCGGGGCCCGAACAGGCACTCCAGTATGGGATGCAGGTCTCAAATGGCAGCTTAGCCTGCTGCACCACAACATGCCTGGTCCTTAAGAAAGCTTTTAGAGTTGCCATACTAGGTCTGGTTACATCGTTCCCAGCTGTCTAAGCAGAACAGTCAGTGACAGAGGCCTGCCTGTGGCCTGTGATGTCCTCCCAGTCTGTCCTGGCTTGCACAAGACATGGTTTTGGGACTCAGCCCATCAATCCCAGCCCTGGAGGGAGAGCTTTGTAGAGCACAAGGTGTGTCTGTCATGATCAGGGCCATCCAGTCAGCCCTGCTGTTGAACAAGATGCGTGCTTCTGTCCCCTTTACCCTTAACAGTGACCGATTCCACAGTCACTTGCATCCTAGATCCCTGGTGACGTGCTCTACTCCTCACTTCTCGCATGGCCCTGAAGTTCCAGTGGAGCCAGCTTTCGTGCCGTCTGTTACCAGGCACGTGGAAGAGTAGGAGTGCTGGGCTTTCCAAGGCTCGTGGCACACGGATCACGAGAACTCTCAGGAAGCACAGCTACTCCGGCTTGGCTCTCTCTCTCCATGTGTGGGTCCAGGTCCTACCAGACGTGTCACACTTCTTTGAAAGTGATCCCTGCCTGCTTTCATTTGTGCCTCAGGTTCCCCTCAGCGAGTCAACGGGAAGGTGAAAGGGAGGATCTTCGTGGGGACCAGCCAGGTGCCCGTGGTCTTTGAGAACACCGACCTGCACTCTTACGTGGTGATGAACCACGGGCGCTCCTACACAGCCATCAGCACCATTCCCGAGACCGTGGGGTACTCTCTGCTCCCTCTGGCCCCCATCGGAGGCATCATTGGATGGATGTTTGCCGTGGAGCAGGACGGATTCAAGAATGGGTTCAGCATCACTGGTAATTTATATCCAACATTAAAATCACACTGGGGGAGGGGAGGGGCCTGAGAATAAAAGGAAGCAATCGCTTGTCTGCAAATGAATTACCGGTGCATCCTTATTGTCTAGAGAGACAGAATGGAAATATGAGCAGGTACAATTCACACTGATGTGTCATTGACATACACAAACTGAGGCTGCCTGAAATCGTGTTTTGGATCACGAAGTGATTTCACAGTTGAGATTTAGAAGAATCCAGCAAATCAAATCACTTCAGCTCATTCTCCCTCACAGCCCAGCGCGTAGGGCTTACAGCTCCCTCATTCCCTTTATGGAGCCCGCCTCCTGTTCTAAACACCTCTGAGATGGACACATGGCATCCTCAGCACCTGCTCAGGGAAGGGAACTAGAGTCTTAGGGACTTGGCATTGCCCGGGAGTTTCTTAGGGACGGTGCCCTGTCAAGGAAAACTCAGTCTTCCAGAGACATGTGGGCAGGTCCCATGGGGGGCATTCCCTTGGCTGTGCCTGGGCCAGGCCCCTTGTACTCGCTGGGGCCATTCCTGGGAACAGCTGGAGTGGAGGAGCCTGCATCTTGCATCTGTGAATACATATTTGAAAGAGGCCGAATCTGCCTGTAGGAATCACTCATTTAGGGCCCCATGTTTTCTCTCCCTATTCCTCGGGTGTGTGTGTTCTGAGTGTTATAGCCCTATCCGCACTCTCAGGTGAGCAGGATGCTCTTTCCTTTGCTGCAGGCCCACTCACAGCCCAGCTTCTTCCCTGCAGGGCTTTGCACACTGCTGTTGCCTTGACTGTGGCCTAACTTCTCTTGGTGACGCTTGGTGACGTGTGTCAGCTTCAGCAGGTCCCAGGGAGAGGAAGCCTTCACACAGGCCCTGCAACAGCAAATCTTGGTGAATGACGCTGATCCTTCTAAATTCCCCCAGGACCTGCGGTCCCAGCTGGCTGTCTGCATGGGACTTGGGTGACTCTAAGCAGGGCCAGACAGTAAATATTTTAAGCTTTGTCTAAATATTTTAGGCCACATGATCTCTGTTACAACCACTCAACCCTGTCCTAGTCCAGAGAAAGCCACCATAGATCCTATGTATATGAAGAAATGTGGCTGTGTTCTGATAAAACTTTATTAATGAACACTGACATTTAAATTTTGTAGGATTTTTACATGTCACAAAACAAAATTCTTTGGATTTTCTTTTAAAAACTGAAAAATTTAAAGGATCCTTTAAATTGAGGGGGAATACTGAAACAGGCAGTTGGCCAGGATTAGCCCTGGGACCATAGTTTGCCAGCCCCTGCTGTAAAGGGAGTATACCATTGTGGGAGAGAGAAGATGGAAAGGTGGTGGAGGGGGGATATTTGTATTTTTTCTTGTGTGTGACTGCTGTGTCATCCAGACCGAGGGAAGTTCCTGAACCCACAAAACACATGGGATCCTACGGTGGTTTCTGGAAATGGTGTTGGTTTGCCCTGAGCAACTTGTCCATTCTGACCAGGACTTACCTATTTCGATAATTATCACCGCACTGTATCTGTGGAGCACTCCATCACATTTCAGCATACTTTGTCTCTAATTTCCACAAGATAGATTGTGTCCCTTTTTAATCACCAGCAAACAGAGGCTCAGAGGGGTTCAGCAATTTATTCAAGATCACTCAGCCAGGATCTAGCAAAGCTCCAGTCCAGCCTGGGTCCCCTGCTGTTTCCCACATGACCCCTGAGCCCCCATCTCAGATGCTGGTTTGTGGCTGGGAAGCAGTTCCTCTCCTCTGTGCCTGGCTCAGTTGGGCCACGTGGATGTCCTCAGTGTCAGCAATCCCATGATCCATTGGCCAAACTGAAGCCTCCTCCAAGGAGGTCCCTGCATATTCCTGTCTTGGCAGCACCACCCAGTGAGCTGAGGGTGGGAAGGAGGGCGTGCTCACGCCACAGCCGAGTGACAGGGCCGATCTTGTTTTCCAGGGGGCGAGTTCACGCGCCAGGCGGAGGTGACCTTCGTGGGGTACCCAGGCAAGCTGGTCATTAAGCAGCAGTTCAGCGGCATCGATGAGCACGGACACCTGACCATCGACACAGAGCTGGAGGGCCGCGTGCCACAGATCCCATTCGGCTCCTCCGTGCACATTGAGCCCTACACTGAGCTCTACCACTACTCCAGCTCAGGTGAGCCCCAGGGCCACCCTCAGGGAGCATCACTGCAGCCTCATAGGGCTGGAGCACTCTCCAGGGTTTTAGAGGGAAATGCACTGGACCTCACCAAGTTGCAATCATTTGCCCCCTAATTATAGACATAGCAGACGCTTGTTGTAGAGAACTTAGTGTGAAAAAGAAAGTAAGTGTAATTCAGAGCTGTAAAACCTGGGTGGAAATAATAGTTAATTGCATTTAAGTGTCTTTCCTTTCAGCCTTTTATGAGCAAAAACACACCTCAGTCTGTATCAAGCATCCCAACACATTCTATCATTTAAAGATAAAATAATATTACTACAATACATACCTATATGTAGTTTTTACAAACTATATTTATTCTTGATTTGGTATTGGCTTCAAATAATTTCAAGCTTCCAGAAGAGTTGAAGACAGCCCAGAGGGTTACTGTGTGCTGTCTACTCAGCTTCACTAATTCACATTTTGTCACATTTTCTTCATCAATTCTTGCCCTATATATATATTCTCCTCCAGCCGGTCATTTGAAAGTAAGACATCATGAGGGTTCATCCCCTAAACATTTCATGCATTATTCATAAAAAGAAGGACATTCTCTTGTGTGGCCATAGTACAGATATCCAAATCAGCACATTTAACCCTGATACATGCTGTTATATGATGTAGAGTCAGGTACATAATTTTTATTTCAATAAAATTGTAATCATCGCACCTTGTTATATCTTAACCTTTTCAGTTAGCATCAAATTTGACTATTTAATAGTTTTTGTTAAATAGACTATAGCAACTCTTTTTTTTTTTTCTAAAACAGGATCTATACAATTGTATTGAATGGCTATTTATTGAAACTGGTCTCTTATGTTCTAAAGCTTGGGTTATTTCCAGCCTTCCCCTCTCATAATGATTTGAAATGAGTGTCCTCATTGTAAACGTTGGCCACATTTCTGCCTGATTCTAAGCCTCAATCCTAGGAGTGATGAGTCAGGTGATAAGGCCTTTTGAAAAGCTCTTACTAACTGAATTGCTGCCCAGCAGGGCTGTACCAAGGATGAGGGCTTCATGGCTTGGCTAAGCTCCCCTTCTGGGAGAGAGGAGAGCCAGGGAATGGGGTTGGAACCAGCAGCCAGACCCCAGTGTGCAGCCCGCCTGCAGCCAGATGGCCTTTCTGGCAGCCAGCACGTGGGAGCTGGACAGGAGCAGCTTATACTGATCTTTTATTTATCCTCTGGCTTTTATGCTTCTAATATAGAGCTAACTGCAGCAGAGCACAGAAGGATAAAGAGTCTTTGATACTTTTTTTTTCAATAGGAAGTAAGGTTTTGTTGCATGAGTAAATAGCAGCTCTCTTGTGAATGGGGTGGACTGTCTCTCTCTCCCTCTGTTGAGCTTCACATTAGTTAGGTTTCCCAAAATTGGCTGCTGAAACCCATTTAATGTCTCAATTTTAAATACCATGGAACTGCTGAGTCCAGGTGGCACGCAGTTAGCACTGTGTTGGATCCTGTGAGGTAACCTCCATCCAGCAGTGAGCACACTGCCACTCACAGGGCACGTGCTCAGTAAGTGGCAGGTTATCTTGACTCTGGCATTGGCTTGCTTGATTCCAGAAGTTGTACCCCTGTTACCTGACTGAATCCCACACGTTACCCCAACCCGTTTGTAAAAGAAGCAGAGGCTAACGAGGCTAGTAACCGACTCCTGGTTACACAACTTGGGCGGGATTCGAGGTGTGAAGTCCAGTGTACTCTCTCGAAGTGTGTGTTCTTTCCACCAGATCTCACTCTTTACTTCTGGGAGTCTCAGGAACTTATGGGGAGCCCCCGGGTGAGAAAAGCAAGAATTGAATACTACCAGTGATAGTGTGGGAACCTAGGTGACAGGGAGTCTGGGCACAGAGAAGTCATCTCAGTGAAGCTGTTCCCTCTGCCCTGTCATCTGGTAGCAGCAGGGGCAGGGGCTGCCACTGGTGGCTTTAATGCCCTGGATAAGCTTCTCGCATCTTTATCTCCCTGCCTCACCCCCTCTTCCTGCCGCACACCAGTGATCACTTCCTCCTCCACTCGGGAGTACACGGTGACCGAGCCCGAGCGAGACGGCACTGCCCCGTCACACACCTACACTTACCAGTGGCGTCAGACCATCACCTTCCAAGAGTGCGTCCACGATGACTCGCGGCCAGCCCTGGCCAGCACCCAGCAGCTCTCGGTGGACAGCGTGTTTGTCCTGTACAACCAGGAGGAGCAGATCCTGCGCTATGCACTCAGCAACTCTATCGGGCCTGTGAGAGGTAAGGGCGTCGGTCAGCTCTGGCATCGTGTGGGTGCCGGCACGTGGTCCTCTCCGGGCTCACTCATTCTAAATAATCTGGCTTTTTGAAGACTGTGTTTTGGGCTCTACTGTCAGGCAACGGAAGAAAACTCTGCTAAAATACCTTCTGATCAAGAAAAAGGTCACCTGTGATTCTGGGAAAGCCAACTTGCCTCTGGCCTTGTCACTGAAGGTCTTTTTGTGACCCTGTGTGGGGTCAAGTGCACAGTGCTCACCTGTGAAGTTACCTGGAGGAGTGCTCCATCCAAAGGCTGCTGGATGGGCTTCTAAATACTCTGCTGTTCAACCTTGAAGGGTGTGCTAAGGGTCTGAGAAAATCTAAATAATACGGAGCCTAAAGCAAACTCTTGCCTGTGTGTGACAGCACATGGCTGGCGCTGTGGGAGGAGCCGATATTTAGAGTAGTTTTGTGACGAATCAGTGTGGGGCTTCACATTGTGCACGTATAGGGTTCCTGCCTGACTGGGCTCTGGGCCTGAAAGTCTTTCCCCTTTTCCCCTGTGTTGGTTCCTTCCCCGTACCCAGGTCTCTTCTCCAGCAACATGAATTTAACGTAAATAGCAGCAGGAGGTAGGTGACCTCCCTCCTTTGACAACTATGGTTCTGGGTACCAGGGGTCAGCACATTTGTTCCCAAAGGACCAGATAGTGGTTATTGAAGGCTTTGCCTGCCATCCGTGATGTCTTGATTGTGTCATCACAGCACAAAGCAGCCATGGACCACACGTGAGCAAATGGTTATGACTGGTTGTCAATAAAACTTTATTTACAAGAACAGAGATGGGAGCCAGAGGCACAGTGTTTCTGATCCCACCCCAGGGCTATCCTGTACTCCCATTCTTGATCACAGTTTGAACAGTATCTCTCAGTGCCAGGAGAAGGCCTGCAATGGTTGCCGAAGGCTCATTTGGTTCCAATGTCTCTGCCTTCACAGATGGCTCCCCTGATGCCCTTCAGAATCCTTGCTACATTGGCACTCATGGCTGTGACACCAACGCTGCCTGTCGCCCTGGCCCTGGGACCCAATTCACCTGCGAGTGCTCCATTGGCTTCCGAGGAGACGGGAAGACCTGCTATGGTACAGCCTTTGGTTCTGGCTCGTGGGGGAGCCGGGGAGATGGGCAGGGAGGAACCATCCAGATTCCATAAACCAGAGTGCTGGGGCGAGGAAGTGTGGAGGGGGTAAGTACAGCTAGGGGTGCCATGCCTGGATAGTTTGTGACCAGCACTCGCTGTTTCCTCTGTAAAATTAGGGCCTTGTCCCCTGTCTTTCCTCTGATTTAATGCATCAGTGCTAAGCAGCAGATTAGAATTTCCACATACTTCACTCCATTGGAGCTGTAATTTACCCAAGCTCTGTTTGTGTTGAGTTCTTCACAAATACCATCTCGTCTAATTTTGCAATGATTCTATTGCTATAGATTCATTTGTTCCTTTTTTTTTTTCAAAAATATGTTTAATTTTGGTCAAATGCACATAACAGAATTTGCCATCTCACCCACTTTAAAGTGTGCAGTTCAGTGGTGCTACATACTTTATAGTGCAACCATCATCATCTTCCATCTCTAGCACTCTTTTCATCTGGGAAAATAGACTCTACCCATTCAACCATAACTCATGCTTCCCTCCCCCAACCCCTGGAAACCATCATTCTACTACCTATAGCTATGAATTTGACCATCCAACATTACTTAACATTCAGCATTTGTCTCTGTGTCTGGCTTATTTCATGTAACATAATGTCGTCAAGGTCCCCCCCCACCGTATTTTTGTGTGTCTTGGAATTTTCTTTGCTTTGTGAGGTTGAATGATATTCCATTATATGTATTTGCTACATTTTGTTCATCCATCCATCCATCAATGGCCATGTGGGTTGCTTCCATCTTTTGACTGTTGCAAATATTACTGTTAGGAACATGGGCATGCAAATATCTGTTAAAGTGTCTGCTTTCAGTTCTTTTAAATATTTACCCAGAAGTGGGGTTCCTGGATCAAAGGGTTTAATTTCTTTTGTGGAACCACCATATTGTTTTCCAGACTACACCATATTATATTCCCACCACAGTGCACAAGGGTTCTAATTTCTCCATAACCTTGGCATCTCTTGTTATTTTCTTTTTTTTAAAGGAAGATTTATTTATTTATCTGAAAGTCAGAGTAAAAGAGAGAGAGGAAAAGACACAGATCGAGATCTTCCATGCACTGGTTTACTCCCCAGCTAGCCACAACAGCCAGGTCTGGGCTAGGCCAAAGCCAAGAGCCAGGAACTCCATCCTGGTCTCCCACATGGGTGGAGGGCCCAAGCACTTGGGCCATCTCTGCTTCCTTCCCACGCACATTATCAGAGAGCTGGATAGGAAGCAGAACAGCCAGGACCCCAGCCGGCTCTCTGATATGGGCTGCCGGCATCCATCACAAGCAGCAGCTTCATCCGCTGCACCACAACCCCAGCCCCGCTTGCTAGTTTCTGGTTTTTGTTTTCATTCTTACAGTGGCCACCCTAAGAGATGTAAAGTTGACTGCTCTTTTTACATATGGGAAAACAGGTTCATTAAGGTGAACCACAGGTTAGTTACATTTGAACTCAAGTCTCTGATTCAAGCCTTGATATTACTCTGCTTTCTTCCTGCATTTATTTTTTATAATTTAATTTCAGATACTTCCATGGAGATGGGTTTCTCCTCTGCTCATTATCACATTTTAATCCACTACCAAAGGGCAGTTAGTCCATTGCCAAGGGTGAGGATGTGAAGGCCTTCCTTCAACCAGCACTACCTAATCTGCAACAAAGGGCTCGCTAATGAGCATTAGGAATGCTAGAAGTGGGTGTCCCTGCTGGAATGAGGAGTGAACCCACATGTTGTTGGTTGGAACGATGTGTATGGCTCTCTACACCCTTGCTTGAGTAAAGTGAAAGAACCTGGCAGACCCAGTAGCCTCAGAATTGGGGGATAATGTCCTGGTCTGCAATCCATCACCCCCAACTAATGGTGCATTTGAAGTGCTGATTGAACGTGAAAGGTCCTGACAGATCCTGCTGTCAAGGAATCCTGCTGTCCCGTAAGATACTTACTGGGTTGCCTGAAATGTTGGAGGGTGGGGACTTGTGCTTACAGACAAAGGTTGTGTGCTTATTGACCAGGTTGCTGATAACTTTGTGCATGTGGTAGGAATTAACCTGAGGCTCAGGGAAGAGACATTGTCCCTACTCACCTGTATCATCAGCTTCCCAGTATTTCTCCAGAGAGCCAGACAGTCTTCAATGGCTGAAGTGACTCAGACCAGTTTGGAGCAGCTTGACACAGTGTGTGTGTGTGTGTGTGTGTGTGTGTGTGTACACAAGTGGAACCTGCCCAGGCTGTGAAGATGGTGACAGACATCATTCTGGAGAGGGGCTGCTTCACTTAGACTTATCACCCCTGCTTCAACTTGATGGGCCACCTGAATACTGATAAAGTATGGAGATGCCCCAACCTGCCCCTGTTGAAACATGCCCTTTGGACTGATTCTGCTTTGGTCTCTGAGCATGCCAGTGTGAGAGTACTTCATAGAGGGAGTGCTTCATTTCAGAAAGCACAACTGGCCAGGCTTTTAGGTAATCTGTTGTTGTCGTGGAAAATCCCTGGATGTCCTTTCCCAGGGACACAGGTGGTCGCATGTGGACTTGCTTTTGTCCTGGGGTTAGTGACTGTTCTGGCGTGTTAGCTCTGTGGAATGTGTGGATGTCCCAGTCAGCCTACTCATTGTTCTTGGCCACTGGTACGTGCCTCAAAGTGTTAATGCATTGAGACATGAGGCTTTTAATAGGAAGTTGCATTAAGCAGACCACTTCATGTGTTCTTTTGACTGGGAAAGTATCTTATAGGAGAATGAGGATGAGTCTTTTTTAATCATTGTATGTAGCACTGCTATAAGAACACATGGCATCCAAGACAGGGATAGCTTTGGATAGACATCTTCCGGAGAATCCCCAGGGTAGTTTGGAGCTGATGCTGAGTCGAGTCCCAGAGCTCTCTGACTCACTCTGTGGTACATGGTGGAATGGTTCCCATAGAACTGTCAGCTTGGAGTCTCTAGAGATGGTTTTGGTTAATTGAATCATTTCATTGAATAATTTTCTAGTTTGTAGAAGGCATTTAATGAGTCAATGATGAGAAGATCTTGGCCTTTGCATAAGGAGACAAATTGCAGGACTTAACAGTCATTGAAAATATGTGCAAAGTAGCCACTCTAGAAATAATAAAAAGGGAAGCAGTACTTACAAGAATACTCGAGGGTTTTCCAGCTGAATTAGGGAGTGATTATGTGAAAGGAAAACTCTTTCTAGAGAAGTTGACCAGTTGCTGGACAATAAGAATACTCATCTTTAAGCAGATACTGTGGTATGTTGTAAGAAAGTTATCACGGGTCCACTAAAGAAAAGGTTAAGGTCTTGGCCCCCGTTTCTAGGAGACGAGAGTTAAATCACACATGAGGAAGAATTTCCAAACTGCAAATACTGTGTGATACTAGTGGGGAGTTTCTAGGGTCTTGTTCCTAAAGAAAGGTGTCAACCATGAGGCGGGTGTTTGGCCTGGCAGGTAAGTTTCTGGTTGAGTGCCCACATCCATATCAGGGTGTCTGGGTTCTGATTCCGGCTCTGGATCCTGACTCCAGCTTCCCACTAATGCAGACCCTGGGGTGTGGTGGTGATGGTCTGGTGCTCCGAGTAATTGAGTTCCTGTCACCCACATTGGACATCTGGATTGAGTCTCTGGATCCTGGATTCAACCTCATACAGCCCTGACTATGTGGGCATTTGGGAAGTTAGCCAGTGGATGGGTGCTCTGTCTGTCTTCCTATTGAATAAATAACAATTTTTAAAAGGGTATCTGCCAGGATAACTTCTGTGCATTGGCCTTCATGGAGGTGGAGGTGGTGCTCAGGAGCCATCCACTCCCTCATCCCATTGACCTTGAGCTCTGACTCACCCGTGGTTGTTGATGTCAGACATAAGAGTGCTATCACCTTAGAAGCTTTCTTGTAACCCTTGACTTGTCTTTCTGTCCAAGTTCCCAGGGCAGAGTGGAGCTTAGACGTGTTTCCCTGGTGATGGTACTCTGTTCCTGATGGAAGCCTGCTGCTCTGAGCTCTTGGTTCTGGCAGTTGTGTCTAGGCCATCAAGCCCTGCAGTCTGTGTAACATGTGTAGCCATCCGTGCGGGGACATCCTCTGAAGAGTTGCAGTGCAGAGACAGCAGGCACAGGAATGATCTTTCTTCTCCTGTGTTGTTGCTGTTCATAGCTGGCAGATGGAGCTGGAAAGTCCACACTTGGTGGACAATCCCCTCATTCCCACCCTCATCTCTAGCTTGTGCCTGAGGCTGCTTTGGGATGGCTTGGTTCTAGAACATTCCAGTGGTGCCAGTTTGAGATCTTGTGTCTGAAACCCTTGGTGTGCTCTCGCTCGCTCTCTCTCTGTTTCCAGTATAATTTCAAAAAGATGAGTACCATTTAGTTTGGGTTTTTGCCTGGTTACAGAACAAACTGTGGTGCTGATGTGGCAAGAATGCTTGTCTTGTGCTATGTCACCCAAGAAGACAGCAAGGCGCTTGTTTCACCCATGAAGTGAGTGGCTTGACTGGCCATGGAGGTGGACACATAAGGCTTTGTTTCTCCCGACTGTCAGGGAGAGGACTGATGGCGGGGTGGGGGGGAGTTGTATGATCTCAGCCATTATAAAATCCTCTGCACAGAACCTCAGAGTTTAGAAATGCCAGCAGGAGCTATGTATACTCTGAGGTTGGGATGGAAGAGACCTGTATAGGTAACTGTTCATGTCAACCTGTCAGCAGACAGGAAACCAGAGTAATGACAGGCCAGCTCCACGTCTTGACTGGTTCATTCAGCCTTTCAGCAGCAGCAGCCACAGACCAACCCTCAAAGTCTGATTGTCATCTGAGGGCCGTGTTCCCTGAATCAGCCAAAGCCATCACCGTGGCTGGGGTGTAGGAGGGATCCCTAATCATTGTCATTACCGCTATGTGTCTGGAACACGCCAGGTGATCTGTTTTCTGGAATCCTCAGAGGGACCCTCAAGATGAGGACTATTGTGCTTGTTTGCCAATGGAGAAACTGAGGCAGGGTGTCTAGGTAGCTTGCCCAAGACTGAAGTTAGTACCTATAGGAGGGAAGATTTGTACCTAGCTGTGTCCGACACTGAGGCATAGGTTTTGCTCTGCAGTACCTGTGGTGATCCTTGTAGTGTTCTCCTGTGAAGGACATCCTCTTACTAGTTAGTTCATTCACCATCTAACAGATTAACAGATCCCTTTGAGGGCATTAAGCTCAAGATAACATTCAGAAATCCCATTGGGCTTTAAGTGGGCAACTTTTGTTGGTGACTGTAGTTAGAGAAAAGTACTCTTTTCAAACAATCGCATATTTAAATATGCTCTCAAGTTTAGAAACCTTATTCGCTGTCCAGACACCGTCTCCATGTCCTTCCCACACAGTTTGCCACACTGATGAGTGACTCATTTTCCTGGACCCCAGCCTCAGCAGCGACCTCCAGGAGAGGGAGGGGAAAAAGCAACCTTTACTCAGAAAAAGCGCCTGGGGTTCACTCCCTAATGTGGGGCCTGTGCACACACATGCATGCATGTGCACACACAAACACACACACACACATCTTTATTTCCACTTCCTTTTGGACAGAAAAAAATTTGTCTGAATATTCATCTATTGAGGCCATGGTGTAGTAGGTAAAGCTGCTGCCTGCAGCACCAGCATCCCTGTTGGGCTTCAGTTTGAGTCCTGGCCGTTGCACTTCCAAACCAGCACCCTGCTAACATGCCTGGGAAAGCATTGGAGATGGCTCAAGTGCTTGGGCCGCAGCACCCACATGGGAGACCTGGAAGAAGCTCTGGACTCCTGGCTTCAGCCTGGCCCAACCCTGGCCTTTGTGGTCATTTGGGGAATGAACCAGCAGATGGAAGACCTCTCTCTCTGCCTCTACCTTCGTCTGTAACTCTGCTTGTCAAATAAAAATAAAAATAAAAATAAATCTTTAAAAAATTAATCTATCTCAGGGTTTTTTTTTATTATTATTTGAGAGGTAGAGTTATAGACAGTATGAGAGATAGACACAAAAAAAAAGATCTTCCTTTCATTGGTTCACCCCCAAATGGCCGCTATGGCCAGTGCTGCACTGATCTGAAGCCAGGAGCCAGGAGCTTCCTCCTGGTCTCCCATGCGGGTGCAGAGCCCAAGCACTTGGGCCATCCTGCACTGCTCTCCCAGGCCACAGCAGAGAGTTGGCCTGGAAGAGGGGCAACCGGGACTAGAACCCAGAGTTCCTATGGGATGCCGTTGCCGCAGGTGGAGGATTAACCAAGTGAGCCACGGCACCAGCCCCTGAAGAAGATTTTTTAAAAAGCTTGCATTTGAAGAATTTTTTTCTTTTCTGCAGATATTGATGAATGCGTAGAGCAGCCGTCAGTGTGTGGCAGCCACGCTCTCTGCAACAACCACCCAGGCACCTTCCGCTGCGAGTGTGTGGAGGGCTACCGGTTTTCCGACCAGGGAACGTGTGTGGGTAAGTTCCCCAAGTAACTTGTCAAAACATCTGTTCCTGTGCAGGAGGTCACCCCCTAGGAAATAAAAGTTGTCCCAGGTGATGATCCTGCCTGAGACGCAAGGGTCCCAATGTGCCATCAAGAAGGGCAGCTCACAAAGGCGAATCAGACTGAGCCCTGCCCTCAACAACCTGGGAGCCACAGCTACCAGCAGTAGGCGGGGTCGTCTAGACCAGGAGCCCCATCAGCCCACCTGCTACAAGCTTTTGTCTTATCCTTGTTTCTTTTTTAAAAAACATTTATTTATTTACAAGTCAGAGGTGCAGAAGAGACAGAGAGAGAGAGAGAGAGAGAGAGAGAGAGATCGATCTTGTATGTACTGTTTCACTCCCCACATGATCGCAACACCTGGGACTGGGCTATACTACAGCCAGACCTACGTACCTAGGCCATCTTCCAGGGCCTTCCCAGGTGCATTACAGGGCAGCTAGATGAGAAGAGGAGCAGCCAGGGCTGGAACTGAGCTCTGATATGGGATGCTGGGCATTGCAGGTGGTGGCTTAACCTGCTGAGCCACAGCAGCAGCCCTAACCTTCTTTCTTACAAACTTCTTGTGACTATTTCAGTATCCTTTCAGTCACTATCACCGTTAGAGGTTTCTTCTTGTTATTCACAGCCTTGGGATTCATGTCGAGGGACCATCTTCTAGGCACTTTTGTGTTACCACCTGTCATAGAGTGAATTGTACCTGAGTTACATGCAGAATTCCATTTGAGACCATTGTATGTATGGATTTTGTTTTACAACCCTAACTCCTTAGCCTTCTGGAAGTAATTGGATGCTATTCATTAGGCTGATGGTGCTTTTGGCCAGTGATGATTTGGGAGATGGTGCTGCTCATAGGCCAACCGCAGGAGCCAGGTTGTTTATATTTTTTTCTCTTTTTTTTTTCTGGCTTTGCTTTGCCTTGTTGGTTCTAAGAATTTTCAGTTCCAAGATTCTCAGAGATTTCCAGGTCTGGAGGGCCATGTGCTGAGTGGGCGTCTGCACTCCACATGCCTTCCCGATTGAAACCAGATTCCTCCTGTGCTGTGTCAGCAGGCATCCCCTGCCCCTTCTTGCTGCTTGCTGCACTCGGGAAACTTGCTCTTTGCTCTGTCTTAAAACCCAGGGGCCGAGGGGGCCGAGGGGGCCGAGGGGGCCGAGGTCCCAGGATGCGGCAGTGTCTCCAGGGCGGGAGGGAACAGGCCGTTCTCATACTTGGACTGTGACCCAAACATCTGTGCTCTCAGGGGGCCAGCTCCCTGTGCACAGAGTTGAGATTCCAGCTCTGTTGAAGTGACTTTCCTGTTTTGGGCTCCTTTTCTGTGTGTTTGGCCTCACTTCCTTCCCTGCTTCTTGAGGTGAAGGAGATTCCAGAGCTTACTTTTAACGGCAGCACTTACATCCCGTCTGGCTCAGCCTCGGTCAGCAGGCTCTTTGCTGCTGGAGCGGTGACGTGCACAGTCACAGAGATCCTGGGACAGGTGGGTGGGAGGCAGGTGACCTGGGTTTTGAGGTTGTGTCTCCGTCACGGGGGAGCTGCTTTGCAGACTGCCATATTTGGGCATTTTCCATAAACCTGGGACTTCCTCTTTTCTTGCAAAGCATGTTTTTGTGGAGGGAAGACAGGCTTCAGCTTGCCCATAAGTCCCTGTAACGTGAAGGCACAGATGCCTCCGAGTGGGCCCGGCCCTGATCCTGGCCTGATGTATGGGGCATGGTCCAACTTCGAATTTCACTTACCCGTCACTTGGGTGTCTTTGTTCAGTGTGCAACACTGTGCCCCAGCCCTTATGTCATGGCGAGAAGAGGGCCAGGCTTAAGCAAAAGGCTGTGGTACACACCACACCGGGCTTTGCCTCCCCCAGTGCTCTGCTCTCCCTCCTCTGTGGGTCAGGAAAAGCCATGGAAAGTATTCAGTGCGGGCCTAGTTTTAGAATTTCGGGTACCCAGAGGCTGTGTGAAAGCACCCGAGCTCCTGTGCCCTGCCCTTTTCTTCTCCTCGTGAGTAACTTCCTTGCCTTGATTTGTCTTTCTTCCTCGTGAAGCCTCCTTCCTTGGCTTCTGTTGCCTCATTTCCCAGCCTCCACCTGCCCACGTGGGTCTCCCAGGGACTGTGTCAGGGGGACAGTAGCATCTCCAGGCTGGCCACCCCTCATCTGATCGTTCCAGGTCAGAGCACAGTTCTTTTCCAGGGTTCAGAAATGAAGGAACCAGGAAAGCAAAACCCCAACTGACCATCTTTTGATTCCTGGCTTTGTCTCTTCTCTAAGACTTCCCCTTCGTTCATCCTGCAGTGCCCATTAGTTGAATGGGCAGGGTCAGATTTGCAGGGAGCCTGCAGGTTAGGAGCCTTGAGGGAAGTGGAGCTGCACATGTTGGAGAAACCTGAAGAGGTACCTGGAGGTCTGGGGTCTGGGCAGATCCCCCTTTACAAAGCCCCACTGGACAAAACCATTGGTGTGGAGGGAGTTTGGAAGAGCAGTGGGCCCACTCAGGGACCTGTTCTAACACTGTGCATCAACTTTTGTTCCGAAGCTATCATGGACCAGCGTCCCATCAATTACTGTGTGACTGGCCTCCACGACTGTGACATACCCCAGCGGGCTCAGTGTGTCTACACAGGAGGCTCCTCTTACACCTGTTCCTGCCTGCCGGGCTTCTCTGGGGATGGCCGAGCCTGCCAAGGTGCGTGGTTGCTGTGTAGCTGTTCCCTGGGTGGTACTTACTGTGTGCAAGTTACCAACTCACCCTCGAATGCAAGAGAGACTTATTCAGTCGACTGCATTGGGCAGATGGGCTGCTTGAATGATGCCTTTTCTTCTGGGGGGCTGTACTGGTTGGTGTAGACATTAAGCCTTCCCCCGACTACTGTTTTATTCTGTGTGACTTGCTCACCCAGCACAGTTAGACAGCTGTTCTCTGCTAGGAATGGAGGATGTTGTTTGAGTTTCACAAAAAGACAAACAGTGTTCACATGCACGGGGCTTAAAGTCCATCCTTTTATTTAATAAGATCTATATTTTATTCACTTGGCCTCCTCTAAGAGCAAAGTTCTCTTATTGAATAAATAAATGACTGCCAATTATTGGTTGTCAGGGTGCTCTTAAATGTAACTTCAGGTAAGACAACAAATGAACATAGTACATGGGTGTCTGGGTTTGTAGAATTACTTAGCAGTATACCATAAAAGTTTTCTGAAAGTTCCAGACTTCATTAGTAGACCATTTCTAATATACTTTCTCTTCATTATTGAACATGTGGATTCTCTCATCACTGAAATTTTGCTGTCAAGCACTAAATAATATGTCTCTAAACACTAAGCCATTTTCTAAGCTCATTAATGATGGCAAGGATCATTTTATAATGGAAAGGAATCCTTTCTTCCTTTTTGCAAGCTTGATTCTTCATGAAATTGTAAATGTCAATGTGTTTGTAAATGCACTGGATAGAATTGGGGATTTATTGTTTTGAAAATTCTTGTTCAGTAAGCTGTAAGTCACTGCTCCCCCGTCAAAAGCAAGTTCACATAGATTTGAGCAAGTGACTTAAATTCTTGTGCAAACTACTAATTCTGAAAGAGTCTCATCATCCCTGGGCCCGGTGGCTGTTTTACAGATGTGGATGAATGCCAGCCGAGCCGATGCCACCCTGATGCCTTCTGCTACAACACCCCAGGATCCTTCACGTGCCAGTGCAAACCTGGCTACCAGGGAGACGGCTTCCGTTGTATACCTGGAGGTACGGCGATGGGGTGTGTGGCATTGCTGGCTCATTGCTGTCTCCATGAGTACCAAGTACAAGGCTCTGGTAGAGAAGCGGAGGTACAGAGTAGGTGTTTGCACACAGCATCTAAGGTTCAAGAGGTGAATCCTCTGGTTTCTCTTCAGGTCGTATAAATCTTTTGCCTTTTACTAAAGGATGTAGAGGTGAACGATCAGAGAATGGGCTGGTGCTGCCCACATGGGCCCTACATGTGCTGGCAGCCTGGGGGCTGATCATCCATATAACTTGAGCCAGCAGTGCAGGGTAAGACCTGGGCTGTGTGTCAGGTTCCCCAGAGAGACAGAACCATGAGGTTCTGTCACACATGAAGACACATATGATTGCATATACATGCATGTGTGTGCATATGCATATATATGTGTGTATATATGTGAGCATAAAGAGATTCATGGTAAGATTAGCTCATATCGTTATGGAGGCTTACAGTTCCCAGTGTCTGCATTCAGCAAGCAGAAGACCCAAAAAAACTGATGGTTTCAAGAGGGCTCAGAACCAGGAGAGCTCACGGTGTAGTCCAGTCTGAAGCTGGCAGGCTTGAGAACCGGGAAAAGCTGATGTTTAAGAAAAAGGGAAAAGAAAGGATGGTCTAGAGGTGTCAAGAGGAATCCTGCCTTTCACTCAGGGCAAGGTCAGTGTTTTTGTTCTGCTCGGGCCTTCCACTGGTTGGATGAGGCCCACCGCACAAGGGAGGCCCATGGTACAAGGGAGGCCCATCTGCTCAACTGAGTCTGTCAAGTAAAATGTTCATCTCATCCCAGACACCCTCGGAGAAGCACCTAGAAGAATAGTTGACCAAACAGCTGGGCCCTCTGTAGCCATCCCAAGTTGACACATAGCCAGCACAGGTTCCTTTGTGTCCGGGGCGTGTGGGGTGTGGGGTGTGGGGTGTGGGGTGTGGGGATGTAGGCTGAGGCCTCCGTAGGATGGTCTGCATTGATCTGTGTGGCTTCTCGGGTTGCTGCTGCTCTGAGACCCGAGCAGCATCTTGTTAGAGCGTGAGGATCATGACAGCTCCAGTCCACTACCTGGCCTGAGTCGGGGAACTCGGGAAGCACCCAGCCAGTGCTGTGGGATCAATGCACACCCCCAGCTGCCCTTTGTGAGGCTCCTGCTGTGTGCTCCTGACAGATGCTGTTTCACATAAGGCTCATAGCTGTCTTTTGAAGTAAGTACAATTACTCTCTCAAATCACAGAGGATGCTGAAATGGAAAAAGAGAAAGGTGTAACCAAGGTCACCCAGGGAGTCGCTGCCAGAACTGAGATTGAAATCCAGCCTGCTGGATTGAGTCCAAATCCACATTCAGACTTCTCAACCACACACAGTGTTCTGACATGAGATTGCAGATGTACTTGACACATCAGACTGGAGTTTGCCTGTTGTATTTATTTTTAATGACTGCTACTGTGCTGGTCAGATACATTCATGCCACTAAAAATGTTTTCAGTAAGAGATAAGTGGGATTTTCATCTCCCCACATTCTAAAGCGGTTAATTATTGCTTAGATGTCCATCCATATCACTGGTCTGTGATGGAGTCTGTGGCTGTGGTGGGGCTCACAGCTGTTAATAGTTGTTGAAGAAATAAGTGAGCACACCTGTTTCCATTCCCACCAACAGTTCATGGAAGTATTTATTTATCCACATTCTCCCTAGGTCTAGTTTTTAGGAGAAAATATCAGATTCAAGTCTGAACTTTGATATATCACACTGCATGTTGCTGATCTGCTTTGAACAAGAGTCAGCAAACTGCAGACCCTGAGCCAAATCTGGCCCATGGTTTGTTTTTGTAAATAAAGTTTTATTGGAACACAGCCATCTGTATAATGTATGGCTGCTTTCTTGTTACAGAGGCAGGGTTCGGCGCTTGTCCCAGAGACTATGAAGCCTGCAAAGCTTACAAAGTCTGCATAGCCTCCTGGCTGGTTCCTGACAGAAGTGTGCTGACTCCTTGGCTTAGAGGGGCCAGATGGGGCCAGCCTTTTTGATCCTGAAACTATGGGTCATGACCACGGTATTGCTCATAGATTTTGATAGGCAGATTCCATAAAGACCAGTTCGTGATCATTTGAGTCAAGGCATTCCAGCAGCTATTAAAAATGACTAGCATTCATTATTTCCTTAGGCTTGCTTCACATCTCCAGTTCAAAGGGAAGCAGATGTTTCATTTTCTGAGTTTTGTTTTTTTTACCCTGACTCCTTGTCCCCTTGTTAAGGCTCTGTTGACTAAACAGAAACAAATCCAGACCTGTAGACTGGGTTATAAAGATGGGCCAAGGATAAATCCAACAAGAGCTGTTTGCCAGAATTGTTTATGTATTTGGTCGTGTCCCTTAAGAAATTCCTTATCTAGTTATAAACTCAAGAAATGGCTAAGAACACTCATTGAGTGCAGTTTGCAATAGCAGAAAGTCTCAATGGCTGTCAGCAGGAGGAGTGCACAGAGGACTTAGGGCAGAATCCATGCCATGAAACAGCATCCAGCAGCTAGAACAAATGAACTCAAGTTAATGGATAAACCTCAAAACCATATGTTGTTGGGGGGCAGGGGCTACAAAAAGATCTGTACAGTATGATTCCATGTGTAGAAAGTACAAACCAGAATGAAAATAAACCTGTGCATAAACATGCAAAAGAAAACAAAAAATGCATGTATGAGAATGAGAACGAACTTCAGGATAGAGGTTATGTCTGTTAAAAGGGACAGTTGGGAGTGGGGTGGGCTATGTCTTAGTGTGTTTGGGCTGCTGTAACACCTTAGCCTGAGTAATTTATAAACCACAGGAATCTGTTCTCACAGTTCCAAGGCTGAGAAGTCCAAGATCAAGGTGCTGGCAAATTCAGTGCATGGTGAGGGCCCACTTCCAGGTCCACAGGTGGCCAGAGGGGCTCACGTGGCAGAACGGGTGAGAGTCTCTCTGAGGCCTCTTTCATAAGGGCACGAATTCCATTCATGAGGACTCTGCCTCCATGACCTAATCACCTCCCAAAGGCTCCAGCAGAAATGCATGGGGGACACAGATATTCAAACCGTAGCCCTGGGGCTACATTGGCATTATTTTTCAGCTGAATATAATGTACAGATTTTAATTATATTCTAAATGTTGTATGACTAAAATATTGTGTGAAATATTCCAGAGAGAAAAATAATGTGTAGTGTCATGTGGGCTCCTGGTGCTATACATAATGAAAGCCAGGGGTCCAACAGCACCTGTTGGTACCTACCCTGTAGAGAAGGCCCAGTTTCCAAAAAAACTGAATGGAAACTTAAAGGTCAGTCCACCAAGATCCTGGCTGCTGCAGTGTTGACTGATGACAGAACAGAAGAAATAACACTTGGTTCCCCTCTCTCCTTCTGCACTCTTCCCCACAGCCCAGGTAGGGGTTGTGAAACCAGCTTAGTGGATCACACTCATCACTTCCTTCTGAATCGAGTGAATGAAAACAATAACCTAGAAAATACCAGCACATAGAGTATGTGCAGTAGGGTCGAGCGTTGTTTCATTAAACAATACTCATATGTATGCTGGTGCATGTGCATGGGTGACTACGTGTGTGTGTGTACTGAGATGCCAAGTAAAATGTGTTTCTTTTCCTGAGTCATGGTTAGTAAGGTTGAAAGCCACCATATTGGTTACCTATTGTTGTATAGCAAGTATAGGTTGAATATACCTAGTCCAGAAATATGAAATTATCCAAAACCCCAAATTTTTTGAGTGCCACTTTGTTAGCAAAATTTTAGACTTTTGGAGCATTTCAGATTTTCAAGTTAAGAATGCTTGACCAGTAGTTTAGACAAATATCCGCAAGTTCAAAATCTGAAACAGTTCTGGTTCCAAACATTTCAGATAAGGAACACTCAGTCCATATCCCTAAACTAGCCACTTAAGACCATAAGCATTTATTATCTCACTGTTTCTGGAGGTCAGGAATTTAGGAGCTGCTCTCCCGGGCTGTCCTGGCTCAGAGCCTCCTATGAGGTCACTGTCAAGATGTTATACAGGCTGTGGCCTTCTCTGGTGGCAGAGAAACGTCCCCGCTGCAGGCCCCATGTGGTTGCTGGCTGTCCTCAGTGTGTCACAACATGGATCTCTTCAAGGCCTGAGAGCTGGCTTCTTCCCCAACAAGTGATGGCAGGGAGGGGGCTGGAGAGCTGAGCCCAAGAAGGAAGCCACAGTCTTTTATATCCTGCTCTGAGTAGGGACATCTATCACTTCCGCTGATCCTCTTAGTGTCAAGCCAGACCTCTTAACAGCGTAGACGGAGCTACCCAAGGGTGTGAATTCCAGGAGGTGGGGAGAAAGGGGCCCACCTTGGAGGGTGACCAGCCCAGCTGCTGACCTGCCTGGACAACACCAGGAATGACTACTGCCTAGAGTTTTGTAACAAAGGGCGTTTGCTAGTGGTCTTCAAAAGTCCTGGCTGGAGGTGTAAGCCCTGTCATTAAGGGCAGGCTCCAAGCCTGTGGCTGCTCCCTCGCGTCTCTCAACCCCTGGCACCAGTGTGTTTCCCAGCATACTCCCAACGGTGCACACCACACATTGTAGAGAGAAGGCAAATGGAAGAGTTCAGAGAGCAGCACTGCAAGGAGAGAGGGAAGCGTGCAGGGTAACACAACCTGGAGAGGCAACAGGGGATGATTCAGTACACAGGCTTTTGTTTAGTAGCCTTCTGTGGCTTGTTTTATGGTTCATGTTTCAAGCAAACCCCAAGTGAAGAAGCCAGGATTTCCTAGTCCAAGCTGAAAGGGGCTCTGGAAATGCTGTAATTCATCTTTTCATTGTATAAACCAGGATTGGGAGGCCTGAATAATTTCTTAGCTTACAAAAAGCTTGCTTGAATTTTTTATATAAAAAGGCTTTTTCATAGCAGTTTTTCTCAAAATATAGTCATATCCAGACCTTGAAGAAACAGTTAAGATCCCTGGAGTTTATGCAAGTTATTTTGATTATAGATA